ATCTCCAGGATACCAGCATCAAGAGGGTTAACAGAGCTTTTTCTTAGTATCAACCTTGTAGCTTTGGTGGTTGCTTCCTTTTAAAGCCAGACAATGTTCTTGTTGTGATCCTTATCTCTGGCTGTTTTGCATGCACTCCGTTTAACCAGGATCTTGTCTAGGGTTTCCTTGCTCCTTGAAAGCTAAGCTGTACCATCCCTTGTGAGGACTTGTTTTCTCCAGCTAATTAGTGAGCTCTGGATGTGCAGGCTAATGGCACGGCCTTCCCCTCTTTTCTAGTGGTCTGTAAGAAGAACTTGGACAGCACCACTGTTGCTGTGCACGGAGAGGAGATCTACTGCAAGTCCTGCTATGGCAAGAAGTACGGCCCCAAGGGCTATGGATACGGGCAGGGAGCAGGGACCCTGAGCACTGACAAGGGCGAGTCCCTGGGAATCAAATATGAAGAGTGAGTTTAACTCTTGTTTTCAAAACTGGGGCTGTTGTGGGCACCTTCTCCCCCACATCCGTCTGCTTGCAATGCTTGGCTGTGTAGCCCATGCTGAACTTCCAGCAGTTCCTAATCTGGAGAGTGCCATGGGCTGCCCTGCCTTTCTGCTCCTTGGGGGAAACCCGCTGAACTCTGTTTGCAGGGTGGGATGGGGCTTGATGGGACATGTCCCCATTGCCTGAGCATGCTGCCCATTGCCTCCTAGTATGCAGCCGTGAGGCTGAAGTTTCCATGGGGCTCAACATATTGTGCCTAAAGCTCCGGGCCCTTCAAAACTAGGCTGGGATTTGTGATCCCATAGCATTTACCTCCTCCATGCTGCTTGTGCAGCCCTGGTAACAAACTCCCTCCCATCCACAGGGGCCAGCCCCACCGACCCACCAACCCTAATGCAGCCAGAATGGCCCAGAAAGTCGGAGGTGCTGATGGGTGCCCTCGCTGTGGTCAAGCAGTATATGCAGCCGAGAAAGTGATTGGAGCTGGAAAGGTAAGAAGGGGGATGGAGTGGACGGGCACGCACATGCCACAAGATGCTGTGTGGCAGGGAGACCTTCAGAGAAGGTCTTGACCTGACCCACAGGCTGCTGCAGGCTGGGCTGCCAGCGCCTCCAGCCAGGGCTGGGCTTGGGGTCCGGTGGCCATGCTCACCTGGAAGCCTGGCACCAAAAGGAGAGCTGGGCATGTCTGGAAACCAGGTTCTCCAGGCTGCGTCCCTCTTACAGACTTGCAGATGGGAGAGAAATACATTTTATACTAAATACTCGGAGCGCTGCTCAGCAGAGGTCACAGTGGATGTCCCTGCTGCTAGATGTGTTGGGAGGATGAGCAGTGATGTGGGCCATGGCCACTGCCACCGCTAACTGAACAAGTGCAACATCCAGCGAGCCTTCCCCACCCTCTGCCGCAGGCTGGGATGCCACAGCTCGAATTCGGGACAGGGAACGAATTCCAGTGGTCAGCGCTGCCCATAGGCAGGGCAAGGTGGTTGGAGGTGTGGGCACAGGCTCGGTGCATCTCTCTTGGGCTGTTCTGCTGGTGGACTGGGTCTGCTCAGGGTCAGATGTAAAGGACACTCTGCAACGGCCCTGGTGCTTCCTATGTCAAGTTCATCACTTCACCAGGGTCCTTTGCGTCCCGAGCTGTGGCCTCATCCTAGCCCAGCTCTGGGAAGCCCTCTGTAAGGCATAGTGACACCTCCTGCTCTGTCAGCCCTGGGACCCCGGGTGAGGTCCCTGCCTTGAAGCAGCCTTCTCTCCAAGGTCGGGTACATGGGTAGAGCTTGCCAAGGCAGCTGGGTCAGGCTGCTTGGCTTTGTGCCGCGGGGGATGGGATGGCCGTGCTGGGAAAGCCTCACCGCCTCGCTGGTGACATTGGGTCACCCCTGTTGTGCTCCGTCCTCCCTGGGGTTTCTGTGTTTGTCCTCTGTCCCCAGAGCAAGGAAAGGAGGCATCTAGTCAATGGAAAAAGCCTTCCAGCATCATCATACCCTAGCTGGCAGTGCAGGGATTTGTGATGGACACATTGAGAGTCAGCCCAGGGTCAGAAGACAAACTTACCCTTAAAATCATGATCTGAGCTTCCTGGTAGGCTTCTGGGGTCGATGTTTACGGGGAACCGAAGCTGGCAAAACAATTACACTCAAGCAAACCTGGGTAGGATTCCAGAGCATGTATTTCATGTCCTAATGTTTGCTGGATGACTCTGTCTGCTACCTCCTCCTCCAGCCCCCTAATTTCACATTTTCTTCCAAAAAAGGTTTCATGTTTTCCAAAGTGTTTATTTAAATTAGTCCATGAGCAGCTCTGGCTACTCTAGGTCTGCTCAAAGGCTGTGAGCTCACTTATCCCCAGAGGACTGGCAGAGTCGTGGGGGGAGTTTTATTTTTAAACACTGGCTGATTTCTGCATTCTTACTATCTGTTTGCTGCCTTCCTTGGAGCTGTAGTGGTGGAGGGGCAGGTGTCCCAACCCTGCTGCCACCCTCCAGGCTAACGGCGGCAGTGGATCTCAGCTGGATAACTCGGGGGATTTATCATGGTGCTTCAGAGAGGACAATCTCCAAGGAGGGGGGTGATTGCTCCTTACAAGTTATTGTACAAATCATTGTACAAATGACTGCTGCGAGTGGGGGTGAAAGCTCTCTAAATCCAGATCAACAAGGGAGCAGTGACCACACCTGATGTTTCCTCTCTCTATCTTCCCCCTGGGGCTGGGAGGACTGCTCTTTCCAGGGAAAAGCTTTCACCCCGTTCAGACCTCTTTGCCAACCGCTTTGGGTCAGAAACAGAAAAGTCACCCCATTTGGTAGCCAAAGCACTGCTGCCCTGTCCCCGGGTGTTGTCTGACCAGGCTCTGCTCCTGTCCCACAGTCCTGGCACAAGTCCTGCTTCCGCTGCGCCAAGTGTGGCAAAAGCCTGGAGTCCACCACCCTGGCAGACAAAGACGGGGAGATCTACTGCAAAGGTGGGTGCCACCTTCCCCGCTGGCTTGTCCTGGACTCTGAAGGGTGGAGGCAGAGGGTGAAAACCCCTGTGCAGGGAACCAGGATGGGACTGAGGTTTGGGGAGGTGGTGGCCCCAGCAGCTGCATATGGGGGCTGGCGCTGCCGGCTGGCTGCGGAGCTGGGGGATTTCCTGCTGCGCCTGGGGCCTCTCTGTTTCCCCAACAAATACAGCAAACCCTGTTGTGTTTAGGCAGTGCCTGCTTCGAGAGGAGGACCTGCTCGTGTTCAGCTGCCAGACTTACCCGTCTCTCCCTTCCCATCCTCTGCAGGTTGCTACGCCAAGAACTTTGGTCCCAAGGGCTTTGGTTTTGGGCAAGGCGCTGGCGCACTCGTCCACTCGCAGTGAGGCACCAGGAGCCGGGCTCTCCGCTCGCTCAGGGCTTGTCCAGACCAGCCTGTGCTGCCCGACCCTTCCCGCACCCGCAGTGAGCATCCTCACCATCATCAATAACCACCCGCTGCTTCACAGCACGAGCCCCTTCCTCCCCGCCCTGACCCAGCGCACCCTGAAGCTGTGGGAGTCCCAGCATCATCCCCATCGGGTACTGCTGGTGCGGGTGCCGGCGGGGAGAGTGCTCACACCCACCTGCAGCAAGGCCTGTGTGCCCAAAACGTTCTGCTCCGCGTTGCCCATCCTGCCAGGATGCAAGCTCAGCCGTGCCATGCCGTGTCACCGAGAAAGCAATAAACATCAAAGCTGACCCATGCCTGGCCCTTTCTGGAGAGTTTATTCCCCATCTGGGGCTGAGGAGGTGCACTGGGTGACCAGAGCTGGAGGTCAGGAGGTAGAGGGAGGATGGGAGATGTTTGCAATCATGGCTTGCAAGTAAAGCACAAGGGCAGGAACTGCTCGGTGCAATTTGACATGGCCCAGCTGTGGCCAGCTGAGCTCTGTGGGTCGCGGGGCAGGGCTCCCCCCCCGCTCCCGCGGCGGATAACCATTTCAAAAGCAGCGGTTGATGCTGGGAGGCCCAGGACAGACCTTCATGGGTGTGTCAGTAGCCCAACACGTGCGCGCGCCCTATCGAAACCCCTATCAGTGCTTTTACGTGGCACCTCTCCAAACAGGCGCGCCCAGCAGTGCTGAATAATTAACAACTTTTCACCTACTCCCTGGGTTTTTAGCAGTACCATGGATCATTAAGCCGTCAGTTTGGCAGCCTCCCAGATTTAATTCGTTTTCATCTAAACTTTACTTCCTTTCTGCGATTCTCTCATTTGACCTGTGTGACATACCACAAGGTCAGCCTCACTGCAGCTTACAGTTGTGAAGCCAACAGGGAATTTAGTTTGGGGTTTTTTTTAATGTTATAAACTTTGTGGTTGAGTAAATGAGATGGGTAGTGTTTTGAGAAGCACAACAGAGGCAGAAATCCTTTCGTGGGGCAGGATTTGGGTTCCTTTATCAACTTAAGCACTTTCTCCCGTTCATCACACCCTCGGTTTTTACATGACATTTTGGAAGCTGAGATGGGGAATGTGCTCTTTAAACATCTCCAAAAATCCTCCCCCCAGGTTTCCCAGCCTAGGACCCAAATTCTAGCTGGCCCCATTGCTCTGGGGTGTGTGGTTGGGGTTTGGTGAGGCGATAGGAAGATGACACTTTGTGTGTGGAGCTGACAGCCCAGGCTCAGGGATGCAGTAGTGGGTCAGGAGCTGTAGCGCAGCGGGCTCACGTACCACCCTCAGCGTGGAGTCAGGGGGTGATAGGGACCAACATCCACAGTGTCAGCATGGGGAGACCAGGATGGGCATCGCTGGGGCTGCACATCCAGACAGAGGGCATGAGGTGGGCTGGAGGAGGTGGTGGGGCAAGGCCCAGGAGAAGTGGGGTGGGATGAGGGGAGCTTTCTGGGCATCCCCTGTCCAAACTGCAGCGGGATGGCTGTGACCATCTGCTACCCTCTGCTGGTTACTGCTCCCCGTGCACAGGCACGGCCTCGCCTGGTCAGCCAGACGTGTCTGGACACCTGCACCCAAGTGTTGTCCAACTCCCTTTAGAGGCAGCGGAGCCGCATTGCACCCAGCAGCACCCATCCCTCCCTGCTGCCGGCGTGGGGGGGCTGCCAGCCCTTGGGAAGGGGGCTGTGGGACCCAAACCTGCCTCCGAAGAGATGAACGAGGGGGTCGGCTCATGATCGAGCACCCTGCAGCCCCGAGGGTGGTGGTGATGGTACTGCTCTGAGCGGTCAGACTGGAGCCCTCTGAGCCCCAGGGCCGGTGGTGCCGGGGCATCTTGCGGCAGGGGATGCCACACCACCGCCGCCCCATCCCGGCTGTGAGCGCTTTGTGGGAATGAGCCAGCCTGGGGCAGGACTTTGCCCCACCTGAGCCCCGAGCCCTGGCAGCCCCCTCTACCCGCCCACAAGAGCTCTGTGTGGATGGGATGGGCGCGGGGACCGCAGGCAGCCCACGGAGCAAAGCCTTTCGCTTGCCAGCAGCCTGACGCAGTGCGTCCTGTTGGATTTGCTGGAGGGCAGGAGCTGCGGCGTCGGCCTCCCGGGCAGCCTCCGGCCCTCCAGGTCTGGGAACGGCCGGCTGGGGAGAGAGGAGCGGAGAAAGACTTTGTCAAAGCTCCTTTACATCCACAGCTATGGGAAAATGACCTTCCCTTGGTGGCTGGAGCCCAGAGAGGCAGTGAGCAGCGGAGCTGAGGCCTCAGCGGGGAGGGGTTTGGCAGCCCTTGGCTCTCCCCAGGGTGGTGAGGAAGGAGGCCGGGCTGGCTGGTGAACCAAAAGTGCCCACGGACATCCCAGCTCACCAGAGCAGAGCTGGGACTGACAGTCCCGAAACTACTCACCCCCAAATTTCCAGGGCTCAGCATCCCTGGAGCTGAGCTTTACCCATGTGTGGGAAAACAGCCTTAGGTGCTCCGTTGGGGCGGGGAACCCACACATCTGCTCTGCTCCTCCTGAAGGTGCTGGGGTGCTTGGGGTGACCTCCAGGGCTGCACTGGCCCCCCCCGGCTGTGTCCGGCCCCACGCTGCCTTTGGCTGCGGGGGTGGCGAGGGCCACAGGGGAGCTGGGGCCACCTGGCATCGTGAAACTGGGTCTCCTGGGACGCCCGGGATCTCCGCCAGCGTGGTGAGGTTGGCCCCGGGGAGCACGAACCAGTTCCTGGCTCCGGCAGCCGCTGCCCTGCCCTCTTAATGAGGGATAATTAGGTGCATCTCATTGGCACTGCAGACTTGCCCCCCGGCCACGCCGGCTGCAGGCAATGCCCTCGGCAGGGACCGGGGACGATGGAGGGGCTGGGGCAAGAGGGGCTCCAGCTGGGGGGCACCGGGGGAGTGGTTGGGGTCTGTGGGGACACGAGCGGGGTAATTCGGGACGTGAGCGCTGGGGCAGCAGCTGCATGCCAGGGAGCTGCAGGCCGACCTGTGGGCTGCCAGCCCCAGATGGTGACCCCAGCGTGTCCCCGGGGGGATTTTTTCCCCTTCCAGACCTCTCCTGGGCGAACGGACCCGCACACTCAGCACCTCTGGGGGCACATCCAGCCGCCCAGCAGGCTGTGACCATCACCCCCTTTGGCAGTCCACGGCCAGCATGAAGGCCCCAGATATCCCCACCGGCAGCCTGGCACGGCATGGTGAACCTCTCTGTGCCAAGCGCTGGCACAGGAACAGACGAAGCTGCAGTGGCTGGG